AAAAAAATCGTGATCTTGATTTTGTAACCGAAATAATTTAATAATTTACGCATGTCCGTCCGTCCGTCCATGTATTTTTGTGAACAAAGTACAGGTCGCATTTATGATCCGATTCGGATGAAATTTGACATAGGTCACTTATTTGGACGAATTCTATTGAAATTTGGAAAAAATCGGTTCAGATTTAGATATAGCTCCCATATATATTTTCGTTCGATTTAAGGTAAATGGAGCACCAAAGTCCTTACATATCTTTCGATTTGCACGAAATTTGGCACAGCGTAATGACTTAGGCCTAGAATGATGTGTGTTAAGTTTCATGAAAATCGGTTCAGATTTAGATATAGCTCCCATATATATTTTCGTCCGATTTAATGTAAATGGTGCAAATCTTTCGATTTGCACGAAATTTGGCGCAGCGTACTGAATGAGGTCTGGAATGATGTGTGTTAAGTTTCCTGAAAATCGGTTCAGATTTAGATATAGCTCCCATATATATTTTCGTCCGATTTAAGGTAAATGGTCCACCAAAGACCCTATATATCTTTCGATTTGCACGAAATTTGGCACAGCGTAATGAAATAGGCCTACAAAAATGTGTGGTAAGTTTCATGAAAATCGGTTCAGATTTAGATATAGCTCCCATATATATTAACGTCCGATTTAATGGAAATGGTCCACCAAAGTTCCTATATATCTCTCGATTTGCACGAAATTTGGCACAGCGTACTGAATGAGGTCTAGAATGATGTGTGTTTAGTTTCGTGAAAATCGGTTCAGATTTAGATATAGCTTCTTATCTGACCAAATGAAAAAATTAGTATCGGTTGCAGAATGACATGTTTATGGATCCAATTTCATTTTACTGGTCCTTCAAAAATGCGACATCGGTTAGGATTCATCTGTTGAATATACCCAAAGTGGTGAAGGGTATCATATAGTCGGCCCCGTTCGACTTTACTACTTTCCTTACTAGTGTTGTTATGAACATTTCATGCAAAAATATCCCCTATATGAAAGGCCTACTGAATGTCCTTTTATTACAGAGGAGCCTCTTAAAATCATTTTTATAAAAATTCCCAACCCCACCTCCATCCCTTGGCCTCCCAGGAACATTTTTCAATATTTAATTTTATTGTTTATTGTTCGATGCCAAATAGATTTTAAAAATAGACATGTTTTGTTATGACATGTGGGGGTTCAATTGAACAGAGAGATAATATTTAAATTTTCAATACAACGAAATTAAACTCATTGATAAACAAACAGCAGATCCATTGCGGATCCATGTAATTGTTTCTTTTTGTTCGCCTTTAGTTTATTTACTCTTGGACCGAGACGTTCCATATATTATTCCTTTGGTGGACAAATTAGCAGAAGTGAAAAATAAAACTGGAACTTAGGTAGTAATCGGAACAATATTCAGATCAGTCTATATTGTAGGTGTGTGTGTGTGTGCGTCTGTGTGTTCAAAAATGAATTTGTTGACTTCTTGCCATAAATTAATTGAGATGCTACCATTGCTACTGCCATAATTTGTTTGTACATTCATTTTTTTATTTGTCAGCGAATTAATGGAATTGTACAACAACAAACAATATAAATTCCGTTAACACACAAGGGATGAATGACAAGAAAAGGAGACTTCCTAGAGGAGGTCTATAAATTATTTATCAAGCTCCTCCTCACAAAATATTTTTTTAAAGGTCTACCAAAGGCGTGGAGTTTTTATACCCTTCACAACACTGTGGTACAGGGTATTATGACTTTGTGCATATGTTTGTAATAGGCAAAAGAAATCGAGATAGACCCATGGTTCCTTTTGAGAATATGCATAGAATCACTTTCTGAGTCGATACGTCTGTTGGTGTCAAATTGTAAAAAAGTACAGGTCGCATTTATAATCCGAATTGGATGAAATTTGACACACCTCATCTATTTGGTCCAAGGACGAACCCTATTGAAATTGAGAAAAATCGGTTCAGATGTAGATAGAGCTCCCATGTATATTTTCGTCCGATTTAAAGTAAATGGGGCACTGAATTCCCTATATATTCTTCGATTTGCATGAAATTGGGCATAGCGTTCTGAATTAAGTCTAGAACGATGTGTGTTAAATTTCGTGAAAATCGGTTCAAATTTAGATATAGCTCCTATATATATTTTCGTCCGATTTAATGTAAATGGTGCACCAAAGTCCCTATATATATTTCGATTTGCACGAAATTTGGCATGGCATTATTATTGACATTATTGAGTAATGTCTGCCAAGTTTCGTGAAAATTGGCTCAGATTTACATATAGCTCCCATATATATTTTCGTCCGATTTAATGTAAATGGTGCACCAAAGTCCCTATATATCTTTCGATTTGCACGAAATTTGGTATGGCATACTGAATTTAGTCTAGAAAGATGTGTGTTAAATTACGTGAAAATCGGTTGAGATTTATATATAACTCCCACATATATTCTCCTCCGATTTAATGTAAATGGTGCACCAAAGTCCCTATATATACTTCGATTTGCACGAAATTTGGCGCAGCGTACTGAATTGAGCCTGGAATGATGTCTGCCAAGTTTCGTGAAAATCGGTTCATATTTAAATATAGCTCCCATATATATTTTCGTCCGATTTAAGGTAAATGGTGCAACAAAGTCCCTATATATCTTTCGATTGGTATGAAATTTGGCGCAGCGTACTGAATTGAGCCTGGATTGATGTCTGCCAAGTTTCGTGAAAATCGGTCCAGATTTAGATATAGCTCCCATATATAGTTTCGTACGATTTTATGTAAATAGAGCATCAAAGTCTCTACATATCCTTCGATTTGCACGAAATTTGGCATAGTGTAGTGAATTGAGCCTGGAATGATGTCTGTCAAGTTTCGTGAAAATCGGTTCATATTTAAATATAGCTCCCATATATATTTTCGTCCGATTTAAGGTAAATGGTGCAACAAAGTCCCTATATATCTTTCGATTGGTATGAAATTTGGCATAGCGTACTGAATTGAGTCTGGAATGATGAGTGCTGAGTTTTGTGAAAATCGGTTCAGATTTATATATAGCTCCCATATATATTTTCGTCCGATTTAATGTAAATGGTGCACCAAAGTCCCTATATATACTTCGATTTGCACGAAATTTGGCGCAGCGTACTGAATTGAGCCTGGAATGATGTCTGCCAAGTTTCGTGAAAATCGGTTAAGATTCAGATATAGCTCCCATATATAGTTTCGTACGATTTAATGTAAATGGTGCACCAAAGTCCCTATACATATTTTGATTTGCACAAAATTTGGTATAGCTTACTGAATTGAGTCTGGAATGATGTGTGCTGAGTTTCGTGAAAATCGCTGCAGGTTTAGATATAGCTCCCATACATATTTTCGTTCGATTTTATGTAAATGGTGAAACAAAGCCCCTATATTTTCTTCGATTTGCACGAAATTTGGCACAGCGTACTGAATTTTGTCTAGAACTGTGTGTGTTAAATTTCGTTAAAATCGGTTCAGATTTAGATATAGGTCCCATATATATTTTCGTCCAATTTAATGTAAATGGTGCACCAAAGTCCCTATATATCTTTCGATTTGCACCATATTTGGCATAACGTACTGAATTGAGCCTATAGTGGTGTCTTGCAATTTTCTTGAAAATCGGTTCAGATTTAGATATAGCTCTCATATATATTTTCGTCCGATTTTATGTAAATGGTGCATTCTTCGATTTGCACGAAATTTGGATTTCAAAAAAAAAAAAAAAAAATGTCCGAATGCACAAAACTGAAATAAGTGTAACCTAACATGTGACAAGTTTCGATGAACTCGGTTTAGATTTCGATATTTTGCTTTAAATTGTAAAGAGCAACTCTATATCTGAACAAAATTTAGTATAGGTTGCAGAATGACATGCTTAATTTCATGTTAATGTCCTTCAAAAATGCGACGTCTGTTAGGATTCCATCTGTTGAATATACCCACATTGGTGAAGGGTATCATATAGTCGCCCCGTCCGACTTTACTACTTTCCTTACTGATTTAGAGATAATTTTTTGAAAATCTACCCAAGGAGTATTTTTAGGGTTTGCCAAAGGTGTGTTTTTTAAATATTTTTATAGGTATTTTTATAGGTATGAAAAATATTTTTTTTATTTAAATCAAAATCCAAAGTCATATAACAATTTTCAGTCTATAAATATTTCAAAACAAAAAATTCAAATCAAATGTAAACTTTCTACTCTCCAACAACTGGTTCGAAATGTAGAACAAAACTACCATTGAAATATATTGACAATGTCAGGGCCACAGCCTGTGGCGTTAGCGAGGCCTTATCTAAATAAATCTATGAATGAATATTCCAATTTTTTACAAAATAAAAAAAAAATCAAAATACCCATACACTCACACACAGCTAAATTTTGAAAAGATCAACATTCTTTTTATTTGTTTACTTTACGAAAAAAATACAACAACAACAAAAACAAACAATAAATTGATTAGTTTTTATAGATTTGAAAGAATGTTCGTTCGGTGGTTCTATAATCTAAGCTAAATGTTTTGAATGCTGCGAGAGAGAAAAACAGAAGAGAATATCTGTTAGATATTGAGCGGCGACTGACTGGGTTGTCTAGACTCTAGATGTTGTAGATTTTCCTTATATATATCGATATTGCATGAATGTGTGTTGTATTGGGTTATTGTGAATGTTTTGCTATTGTGAATGTGTTACCTACGCTTTCTCTTATTTCTTTTTGTATTTAAAAAAAATATTTTTTACAATTTCCCCTTGTCCGGCACATCCTAATATTTTTACTCCACAATAAAACTTAAGCACATACACACACACACACCAACTCTCACATAGCTTTTTTTCTGTTTAGAATATTGATCTCCAAATATCTACTCTGATTTATTAATGGTGTTCTGTTTATTCTCTCTCTCGTTCTCTTACACACACTCTCTCTCTCTCTCCTTTTGGATATAACCACCATTAACAGTGCTAGCAGAGAAAACTTGTATAGCAGTGATCAGCAACATCATAAACAACAAACACTACAACAACAACAGAAACATCAACACCAAACAGCAACAACAACAACATCAGGGCAACAACAGCAGCAGCAACAACACCACCACCATTCACATCAACAGTTATTGCGCCAGTCGTTGATCAACCTCAGTGGTGCTCAGAACGTTCAGAGTACCCCACCGCTATCGGGTAGTCATTCGGATAACAACAGTTATTGTAGCGCCAATACATCGCTCGAACAACCGGAATCGCAACAACAACAACAATTGTCTTCATCTGCCGCCTATTTGCATAGTACGCCCCGAAGTTCTCGTTCACCCTCCCAGCACCATCAACACGACCAGCAGCAGGGAAATCCGATCGGTTGTGGCACTGGGCCAGGTGGTGCCAAACTCCACAAATCGATTTCGTGCAGCTGTGAATCGTTGAAATGTGCCGAATCGGTATCCTTGGCCGGAGGTCTTGAAACACCGTCGCCCTGTTTGGCCAACGACGAAGAATCGCAACGTCGTAATTTCGATACTAGCACAACAAAATCGCTGAGTCGCAATTTTCGGGATTCGACAGCGTTAACAAAAAGAAACGAAGGAGAAGACGACGAACACGATCATCAACAACAACAACGGGATAACAACGAATTTTCCTTGGACCCTAGTAAGAAATCGATTAGCGGTGTAAGTGTGCGCAGCGGAAGTGTTGGCCCCGCGGCCAGATCCTTTACCACCACACCGTCGTCCACAGGTGATGGTGATCGCCATTCGCTGCCCTACGAAGAAACATCGACAACAGCAACAGCAGCAGGTCAGCGTTTGTCCAAGCAAACCTCGTACGACAGCAGCAGCAACGGCGGCGTAGCAGGACATCGTTCGCCCCAACTGCTATCCCTAGCTGATGCTCGGCACCAGACCCCGGGACCAGGAGCCACTAAGTCCCACTACACACACCAGTACCTGGAGAGCTGCAGCCCCACCAGCCGTCTCTCACAGAGTCCGAACAGTAAAAGCAGTAGCTTGGCCATAGCCGATGCTGAATATCAGGACGCCCAGCAGTCAACCGGAGATTTTACACAACTAGTCGTTCGCAACTTGAGTCATTCGGATCCCATTCGATCCGAACTAGATCCGGAACTCAGCCATTGTCCGGCCTCGTTACTGAAGACCCATTACAGTGACGTTAACATCTACGCCAAGAACGAACTTGATCGCCACCTATCGCAACCGGATAAACAGCAGCTGGTCAATAACGCCTACATCTTCAAGTGTATCGGAGGAGCGGGTCAACAGAGTCCCACATCGTTCCTCAAGACCAATAAAATCAAAGAGCAGACGCGTAAACTGCGCAACCTCTCGTTGAAAACCAATCCGTCGACGGGTAAAAAGAAATCGCAAATCCTATCGAAATCGAACGCGGTCTCCGACAACTCCCTGCATCCGGGTGACAAGTATTTGAATCTCTATTTGGTGGAAAAGAAGAATAAGCAGCCCGCAGCAGGCCAGAGTGCAGCATCACGCCACAGTGCCCCCTTTGTGGTCAACGGAGCTGTGAAGCCCTCGTCATATCCCGCATCATATCGTTCCTCAGTGAAGAGTGAAACAGCCGTAAGTGCCGCCATACAACAACAAGCCGCAAGTGCAGCAGCAACCAGTACCAGTCCCAGTGTTGCCGCAGGTGTTCACGGCAGTAGTCTTAGCGATCATCCGCCGCCGACGCACGTCTCATCTGCAGCAGCAGCAGCGGTCGTTCAATCAACTCCGGTCAATTATCAACAATCCAATCCAGGCAACGCCGCAGCCGATACCCCCACCCCCACATCGACCACTTCGACTTCCACCAAACGGCCAACCACGAAACCAGCCAAAATTAACAACAAAGGCTGCAATCTGGTCAACAACGGCACCAAACTTAGCGTCAGCACAAATTCGTGCAATCGTCTACATGCCGGTTCGCCACATGCAATATCACCGAAAAGCTCTGTATCCAGCAACGGTCACCTCAACAAGTATTGTCTGACCGACATCAGTCGCCGCAAGACCGAATTCAACCGCCAGCTAAGCGCCCCGACCGACTACACCCACCATTCGTCGACCAGCAACGGTGCGAGCAACGGTGGTGGTTCGCGTCACTCCCAGCAGGAGGTCCATCACGTTGGCGCATCCACCTCAACGGTAGCCAGTGCCGCTGCGGTCCTCAAGTCGTCCGGCGCCCATTTGTCACAGTCGTCGTCGCAGTCGCACCAACAGTCGCAGCTCCAGTTGCAACAGCTCCAGCAGCTCCAACAACAACAACAGCAGCAACAGCATCCGTTACAACAACAGCAACAACACCATCTCTACCATCAGCATCAGTTTCATCCGCATCCGCACCAGCATCTGTTGCAGCATCAGCACCACCACTACCAACACAGTCAACAGCATTTACACCAGCAACAGTTGCCGCCGCATCAGAGCGCGTCAACAACAACAGTATTAACGAAACCGACATCGAATTCGTGCACGAATAGTTTTAATCGTCGCCACATCAAACGGCAGAAAAATACGAAATTAAATGAAAGGTAAGTGGATGGCGGATATCCTTTTTTTTTTTGCTTTGAGGGGAGAATATGGAAGAAAGCCTCCGGGAGGATTTCTTTCTTCGCGATTTTTATAAAAAATATGTTTTTTTCGACAATTTCCACGGGCATTAAGTTTTATAAGAATATTTATGCGTGTCAACCTGAGGTCCTCAATGGTTATGGATATTTTAGAGAATATGTTTTGAGGGTCTACCCTAGGCGTGTATTTTTTAAAGAGAATATTTTCAAGGTTTACCCTTGGCGTAGACTTTTTAATACTCATTGTTCAAGGCATACCAGAGGAGTGGATTTTTAAACAGATTTTATCTTCAGGCAGGTGAATTTTTTAAAGAGATTTTTTTCTGACAGTTGGATTTTTTAAAAGTTATTTTATGAGGCGTGGATATTTTTTTAAATTATTTTTTTTTTATAAATATTTTTGAAGGTCCTCTTTAGGCGTGGCTGTTTATACCCTTCACCACACTGTGGTACAGGGTACATATGTTTGTAACAGGCAAAAGGAATCGAGATAGAATCATCGTTCCTTTTGAGAATCAGCATAGAATCACTTTCTGAGTCGATTCATGCATGTCCGCCTGTCCGTCCGTCCGTCCGTCCACGTATTTTTGTGAACAAGGTACAGGTCGCATTTATTATTCCAATTGGATGAAATTCGGCACAAGTTACTTATTTGACCCAGGAACGAACCCTATTGAAACTGGAGAAAATCGGTTCAGATTTAGATATAGCTCCCATATATTTTCTTCCGATTTTAGATAAATGGTGTAACAAAATCCCTACATATCTTTCGATTTGCACGAAATTTGGAAGAGTGTAATGAATAAGATCAAGAATGGCGTATGATAAGTTTCATGAAAATCGGTTCAAATTTAGATATAGCTCCCATATATAGTTTCGTCCGATTATAGGTAAATGGTGTGCCAAAGTCCCTATATAGCTTTCGATTTACACGAAATTTGGCATAGCGTACTGAATTGCGTCTATAATAATGTGTGCTAAGTTTCATGAAAATCGGTTCAGATTTAGATATAGCTCCCATATATATTTTCGTCCGATTTCAGGTACATGTTGCATTAAAATCCCTATATGGCCTTCGATTTGCACGAAATTTGGCATAGCCTACTGAATTAAGTCTAGAATGACGTGGGCTAAGTTCCATGAAAATCGGTTCAGATTTAGATATAGCTCCCATATATATTTTCGTCCGATTTAAGGTAAATGTTGCACCAAAGTCCCTAAAAATCATTCGATTTGCACGAAATTTGGCATAGCTTACTGAATTAAGTCTAAAATGATGCGTGTTAAGTACCGTGAAAATCAGTTCAGATTTAGATATAGCTCCCATATATAGTTTCGACCGATTTAAGGTAAATAGTGCACCAAAGTCCCTATATATCTTTCGATTTGCACGAAATTCGGCATAGCGTACTGAATTGAGCTTAGAGTGGTGTCTGCAAAGTTTCGTGAAAACTGGTCAAGATTTAGAAATAGCTCCCATATATAGTTTCGTCCGATTTAATGTAAATGGTGCACCAAAGTCCCTATATATTTTTCCATTTGCACGAAATTCGGTATAGCGTACTGAATTGAGTCTGGAATGATGTGTGCGGAGTTTCGTGAAAATCGGTTGAGATTTAGCTATAGCTCCCATATATAGTTTCGTCCGATTTTATGTAAATGGTGCACCAAATTCCCTATAAATCTTTATATTTGCACGAAAATTGGCATGACATATTTGTTTGAAGTCGATTTACATACGTTTTTCCCCATTGTAACAAACGAATGACATGACATTTATGGATTGATCTAAGACGTTTATCCAATTTCATGTTGATAGTCCTGTTTAATATATCCATAGTGGTGAAGGGCCGACTAAATGGTCCCGTCCGACTTTATTACATTCCTTACTGGTTTTTTTTAATTATTTTTCATTGTCTTCCAAATTTTTAATTTTTAAATGATTTTTCAATATTTCTTTTTATTATTTATTTTTGATATTTTACATTTTCGGAACACTGTTCCAAGTTTTTCTTCCAACTTTGATTGAATTCGAATTTGAATTCATTAACTTCCTCCATTTACTTGTAAGTAGTGTTGTTATTCCCCTCTTACGATACGATTTTACGCATACATAACCTGCTGAATAAACTTTTTTTGGTTGTTGTAATAATTCTAAGAATGTAATACAAACACACAGACACACTCACACACTCACACTAATAAAGTAATTAATTGTGTTGTTGTTTGTCATTTAATGTTTTGTGGTTCAGGGAAGTCCCGAATTGGCACATGAAAATATGACGCCTTTAAATGACAACAAATATATTTCACATAAATTTGCTGATTTGAAAAAAAACATTCCAATATTAATGGCAATCGACTTTGTTAATGAGATTTTGATAAAAATTGAGTTCTAAGAATATTAAAAAAATTTTTTTTGGAAGTTTTCAACAAGGCACATATTTTTAAAAAAATATTTTATAAACGAAAAATTATATATTTTTTTAAAACAATATTGAAGTGAGTATTGAAAAAGTATTTTTTTGAAAAACGTCGATAGCCTAGATTTTTTTTAATATTATTTACATTCAATACACGACAATAAATTGTTTGCAAAATTCGTATTATTATTGCTGACAATATTTGCAAATGACATTTAATGACACTGACGTCACTCACTCGTCGTCATCTCATTGACGGAACGATGTCAAACAACAACAAAAATAGCCTCCGTTAATTTCCAGTCAATCTTCAATTTATGACACAGCTTAAGCAAATTAGCTGTAAACGATTAATTATTCGAACGATTATATTCGAAATAACGCAGAACGAAAAAAAACAGGAGCAGGTCCGGTAATTTTTATTTCTTCACTAGAAAGGTTATTAACCGAGTCCTTTATAAAACAAAAAAATATACAAAAACAATAACAAATATTAAATACAATAATAAAAATATATATTTTCTAAATCGGAACCGATTTTCACGAAATTTAACACACAGGCTATGCCAAATTTCGTGCAAATCGAAATATATATAGGGACTTTGGTACACCATTTATCTTAAATCGTACGTAAATATATGTGGGAGCTATATATAAATCTGAACCGATTTTCACAAAACCTAGCACACGTCATTCTAAACTTAATTCAGTACGCTATGCCAAATTTCGTGCAAATCGAAAGATATATAGGAACTTTAGTACATCATTTACCTAAAATCGGACGATAATATACATGGGAGCTATATCTAAATCTTAGCCGATTTTCATGAAATTTAGCACACGCCATTCCAGACCTAATTCATTACGCTGTGCCAAATTTCATGCAAATCGAAAGATATATAGGGTCTTACCTTAAATCGGACAAAAATATATATGAGAGCTATATCTAAATCTGAATAAATTTTCCGGAAACTTAACACACATCATTCTAGACCTAATTCATTCGCTGTGCCAAATTTCATGCCAATCGAAAGATATATAGGGTCTTTGGTGCATAATTTACCTTAAATCGGAGGAAAATATGTATGTGAGCTATATCTAAATCTGAACCGATTTTCATGAAACTTGTCGCACATTATTCTAGACCTATTTTATCACGCTGTGCCAAATTTCGTGCAAATCGAAAAATATATAGGGACTTTGGTGCACCATTTACATTAAATCGGACGAAACTATATATGGGAGATATATCTAAATTTGTATCGATTTTCACGAAGCTTGGCAGACTTCATTCCAGGGCCAATTCAGTACGCTATGCCGAATTTCGTGCAAGGACTTTGATGCACAATTTACATTAAATCGGGCGAAAATATATATGGGAGCTATATCTAAATCTGAACCGTACACATCATTCCAGGCCCAATTCAGTACGCTATGCCAAATTTCGTGTAAATCGAAGGATATAGAGGCACTTTGTTGAACCTTTTACATTAAATCGGACGAAAATATATATGGGAGCTATATCTAAATCTGAACCGATTTTCATTCTAGGCTCAATTCAGTACGCTATAGCAAATTTCGTGCAAATCGAACGATAAATAGCGACTTTGATGCACCATTTATATTAAATCGGACTAAACTGTATATGGGAGCTATATCTAAATCGGGACCGATTTTCACGAAACTTAGCACACATTATTATAGGCTTATTTCAGTACGCTATGCCAAATTTCGTGCAAATTGAACGATATATAGGGACTTTGGTGCACCATTACATTAAATCGGACGAAAATATATATGGGAGCTATTTCTAAATCAGGACAAATTTTCACGAAACTTTGCTGACACAACTCTAGGCTTAATTCAGTACGCTATGCCGAATTTCGTGCGAATCGAACGATATATAGGGACTTTGGTATGACATTTACGTTAATTCGGCCGAAAATATGGGAGCTATATCTAAATCTGAACCGGGTTTCACGAAACTTAACACACATCATTCTAGACCTAATTCATTACGCTGTGCCAAATTTCGTGCAAATCCAAGGATATATAGGCACTTTACATAAAATCGGACGAAAATATTTATGGGAGCTATATCTAGATCTGAACCGATTTTCTCCAATTTCAATAGGGTTCGTCCTTGAGCCAAATAGGTGACCAATTTCGTCCAATTCGTTTCATAAATGCGACCTGTACATTGTTTACAATTTAATATGGACAGACAGACGGACGGACGGGCAGACGGACATGTATATATCGACTTAGAAAGTGATTCTATGCATATTCTCAAAAGGAACTTTGGGTCTATCTCGTTTCCTTTTGCCTGTTACAAACATATGCACAAAGACCTAATACGCTGTACCACAGTGTGGTAAAGGCTATAAAAATCCATGCCATTGGAAGATCCCTAAAAATAACTTTTAAAAAATGCAGGCCTTTGCTGGGCATCTAAACATAATTTTTAAGAAAGGCGTGGGCCTTTCGTAGTTCCCTAAAAATTACTTTTAAAAATTCCATATATTTTTTTCAAATCCA